TGGGACTAACGGTTCGAATATGTAAGATAGGTTGGTGATATACAGCAATGCTGCAATGTGGATAGCAAACTGGAAGACGTAAGTTACCTAAAGGCGAGCTGATGGAAAACGGAAAATTTACCTTGTTGAAGCCCCGCGCTTGGCGATACCACTCCTTGACAGAGTTAAGTGTCGATTTGCGGCTGAGATCAAACATGAACAAGATCGCGACGGCATCATTGCACACCAATGGTAGCATGTTGACAAACTCTCTTTGACCTATATGAGTAAGGATGACAGCGCGAAAGGAAGGGTCAGAATAGAAGCGTTACGTATAATGAAAGTTACGCACCTCCAAGATCCCATATGGAAAAGGTGATCGTGGTTCGTCGCACGGAGATGGTCTTTTCCATGAAATTGACGCCTAAGAGCAATATTAGTCCCTCCTTTATGTCCAGAGAGCGAGTAGATGAAGTGGCAAACCCAGCGTCTGAATATAATCTTCGTCAAAGCTCCCTTCGACGTACTTCACCATCAAGCTAGTTTTCCCTATCTGAGAGTCCCCAACCATTCCAACTTTGACGACAACACTGGAAACGCGTGGGCGAAACGCATCAGCAAAGCGCTCGGTTACAATCAAGACGCGGCCAGATGACGCGGATAACCAAGATATAGATCGTACGACATACCTATTCTTTTCCTCATTGTTATCGAGGAGTGGATGGGGGTTTTGACCAGTTCCGGCTACGACAGCAGTCATGGTGAGGAGGATGGGACGGATTAGATGGAAAGGAAGAGAACGAGAAGTATCTCCAAAGGGAGGTAGATTATAATAATTTTCGTAAAACAAAAAAAGGTGAAGGTAGTGGTCGTTGTCGGGCTTCGTAACAGGACAAAAACAAAGCTGAAAACAAAAAAGGGGTTTGGTAAGCCAACAGGCTGCGTCATATACCGGAAGGAGATATACTCACCTGGCAAGCTTCCCCTTCTTTTGTTAGAGAATCTACGACGAAGATTGTGGACTCTGGCCGGAAGTGATCGAGGCTCAGTGCGACGTCTCCTTTGTTGCTCGCGTTTGCGGCCGCCAAATCCACTCTGCGCCAACATCTACGCCACTCCAGGCTACCCACTCGGCCCCGCTGTGGCTCATCTAAACCCTTGCCAATGTTATAGGACAGGAAAAAAGGTTAATGGAATCAGTTTTAGCCACTTACACTCGCAAAAGTGGTATGTATAGGAGCTGGAACACATTGCCACAAGTCCCATAAGCGGCTTCTGAGAGAATATTCGAACCCTATGCCAGTAAGCCCTATTATGACCGATATTTCTGACATCCTGTGCAAATATGCTACCAGCAAACCGGGCGGCCCAACGAATCCGTCCAATGGCTTCCAAACCAGCAGAACATGCAGGGCCGATTGACTCACCTGATAGGCTAAGTCAACTCGTTGGGCGCCTCTCTCTGACGACAAACGCAATATTTTATGGGGTTGCTGGTTTTATTATACGTTTGCCTCGAGGCTTCCTTGTGCTGTAAAGCGATGTTTGAAGCATTGGTTGTCTTGCTGGACGTTGGGAACAATCGTTCCACAAAACTCTTTGCTGGTTTGGGTATGACGCTGTCGACACGCTGTACTTACCTTGGCAATAAAAGCCCGGTAGAATCGACGTTCCAAGAGATCATATGAGCAAAACTCTCCCCACTTCCTCCTTGTGTCTTCCCTCTCTTCATCACCCTTACCTCTGAAATTTGGGAAAGCCAAGTAAGTTTACGGCCCCTTCTAGTGGTCAACCCTCAGTCGTCTTGATATAAATTGGGTCCTGTGGAAGTTTATTGCCTAAGGATCTGACACAACAGACCTCAGCCAATAATAAGCTCTCCATAGGGCCGAATGACCCATCAAGTTGGAGGAGTAAGGGGTAAAATGAACCAATTTTACTAGACTCACACTCAGCGTAGCTGAGCAATAAGTTAAAGTAGCTAACGGGAGCCAGCTTACACCCAATACAAGGACAACGCCTTCGCATGTCCCCCGTGTATAGAATAAATGGTGTCTACGAGAACAAGTGCCTATAAAGGTGCAAGACGGCGTACTAATAGCTGACCTATC